ACAAACAAGATTACGGTGGAAATGAAAACACAGAGTCTACCTGGTCAAGGAGATTGCCTCAGATAGATTTGGGGTCTGGGGACTTAAAAGAGCATGCAATGCTTTTAAGGAACAGCTATCCAGCAGCTGTGTCAAAAGTTAAAGCTAAGCCGGGCTGTGGTAAGCACCACTTTAATTCTAGCACTTGGGAGGTAGAGTCAGGTAGATCTCTGTGAGCTTGAGGCCAGCCTGGACTACAAGAGCTAGTTCCAGGACAGGCCCCAAAGCTACAGAGAAACCCTGTTTCGAAAACAAAAACAAAACAAAACAAACAGACAAACAAAAGTTAAAGCTATACCCACCAGGCCATGACCTAAAGGGTCATGTCAGGATGGATAATAATATTCAACACTCAGTGTCAGCTGGGACAGCCCCAACCCTGTGGAAGCCAGGCCTCTTCAGACCTTCAGTAAGGTTTAGTTGTCTTTACCTTTCTCTCTGGCTACCTCCCTGCCTCTATAGTTACTCCCTGTTATATAGTGGCCCCATTTTTGGTTCTGTTTTGACAGTTTACATCTCTCCAGAGGTGTTACACCCTCCTCGTGCAGCTCTCAGAGACTGAGTCCCACTGTCTGCCTGTCCCACGGCTGAGGTGAAGCCCAACGTCCAGTAATAGACTCCTCGAAGCGCAACACAGCCACGACTTCATTCCCAGTGTGTGGTAAAGAGGAGGCTGCTGCACTTTCCAGGAGTTAGGGGTTGGTAGAGAGAATCTGGAGTTCAGTTAACCAGGCAAGTCATTCCCTGCATGCCAGGCTCCACCCTCAGGGCACTCAACACTTTCCTCATGATTGGGAAGTCGAACATCCAGCAAGCAGCAAAATTCAGTCTATGTAAATGGTAGAAGGAAACCATCCAATGGATAACAGCAGACACAAGGTGAATAGAAGGGGCAAATAGCCAAGCTTAAGTAAAAGCCAAGGAATACATACATATGTCAGACTTTCTAGAAATGCAAATAATGATCACTAAAATCAAAAGCTCAGTGGGTGGGTTAAGCTGCAGATAGCCCTGCAAAGTTCCTGTTTCTCCACGTCGTGGGCTGTACTTGAGCGAGGGTGGTGCAAACAGTAACAGCCAGTTACAGGGCACGCTTTCTTCCCAGAACATGCATCCTGAAGGCCCTCCTTCTTCGTTTCCTGGAATCTGGACTTGCAGACACTTTTAAGCCCCATCCTCTGTTTGGTTTGGTTTGCTTTGCTGTTGTTTTGGTTGCTATTATTGTTGAGACTCTATGACCCAGTTAAGCACTGACCTTAGTCCTTCTGAGTTCCCACCCCACCCCCGTGCTGGGATCACAGGCATCAATATCAGTATGTGTCTTTTTCCCTCTATTCTCTTTCTTTCTTTCTTTCTTTCTTTCTTTCTTTCTTTCTTTCTTTCTTTCTTTCTTTGTCTTCTCCCTCTTCTCTCCTCTCTTTCCTCTCTTTTCCTTTGTTGTAGCTTTATATCCCTAAGGGTGTTGTGACCCTGGAGTCAGTTCTGAGCTGTGCACGGGCCATTCTTTCTCTCCTGGTTCCCAAACCCCAAAGCCTCTCACCTAGTGACTCTAGCATCCTGGTCTTTTTCTTGCTCTTAACTCACAAGCTAGTCTCCCGCGTCTCTGCTCACCCTGCCTCTACTCTAGCTCCTGCTTCCCCCCCTTACAGCAGCCCACAGTAAACTCAACTCTCAACATTGCTCTTCCTGTGGACAAGCAAACAAATCCAGTTCTGATACTAATATTCAGAGACCACAGAGATGGGTCTTCCTCTATACAGACCTCAATTCCAGCTTTCGGAAGATCCTGCACTGGCTGAGATGTGTTGTAGAGACTTCTTTTCTACTGTGATCATTGATTTGGACAAAATCCAAGGAAAGCTATCTTTCTTCTTCCCTCCTGTTCGTTTCTCAGGGGATAATTTCACTTGAGATGGTTCTCAATTCTGAACCAGGCTGTCCTTCAGAAGGCAGGCTGACCCACAGGGAATGAGGCCAGCCTCCTGCAACTGTACCATGTCATCTTGCTTGTTTGTTGCTGGAAAGGTTTTGTTTGGGAGTAGACCTCAGCAGATGCTTGCAATAAAGAGAGTGGTACTGTCCAGGAGATTGGATTTTTCTACTAAACATCCACAGACACTCTATTTTTTTAATGACTGAAGGTGTAAAATAAAACTAATCTAACTCATATTCTTAAGCACCACTGGCTCAAAAGGATATGCATAGATTACTTTAAAATCTAAGCTTTAATGTGGAATAGCCTTTCCCTGGACTGATGTCCTAGTACGCAGCCTTTATCATCTAGCTTTCTGCGAGTGGTATTTTTGCATCTGTTAGACACTGGGGACACAGGCAGGGTCCAAGCAGCACGCTTAGAGATGGTCTCTGCACAGTACTGCAACCACACTTTCAGCTCTGACTTCTGGCTTTCCTCTGTGTCACCTGCTCTCAGGGCTCTGTGGTTCCTGAAGATCAGCCTCATAGGCATTCCAGGGATGGCTTTGGTAATTCAGTAATTAGCAATTTAACAATTACTGAGTTTCTAGTGTATGCTAAGCTCTGACAGAGTTTAGGAAAATCAAAGACAAATAAAAGACAGTTTTTCCTGCAGTCCTCAAGGCTCCTTTTCGGCTTCCTCCCAGCTCTAAAGCACAGGGCACAAAACAAGTATGGACTTCCCGTCTCACTTTGAAAGTAACACACACACCCCTCCCGTCCTACTTCAGACCCCAGGGCACACCACCTAAAGAGTGTCCCACAAGGGAGGCTGGGAGGCTGGGAGAGGCGTACCCACCCACCTCTACAGAGCTGCATCTCTGTGACACCAATACCTGATGACACCATCCAATCTAAATAACAACAGCACATTTTCCTTCTGCTTTAGACACAGCCCTTCCCTAGAAGCAGGCGGTTTTTTTTTTTTCCACCCATCCCCAGAAACCATGGGCTGCACGTGTATTTATTTGCAAAGGGAAAGTCAACACAAGCAATTGAGAGAGCTTGTTGTAGCAACTGCCAAGAGATCCGGTCAACGGCTGCTCAGCCTGGAGAGTTGAGGTACAGCACTGTCTCTCCTGGTCATCACATCAGCCTTTAAAAGCAAATATTCGTGAGTAACAATGGGTGCGAAGGAAACATCCCCTATGGAACCAAGATCAAAGAAAACCAGATCAAAGAATTACCTGGATGTTAGAGCACGGACGAACGGGCGCCTGGTAACTCCTTTCCCACTTACATCTTTTTCCCACATCCTCGCCAAGAGTAAAGTTCCATACCCGAGTTGCTCCCCTCCCTCCCACAAAGAGGTTTTTGGAACCAGAAGAGCTCTTAGCTATTAAAGCGAAATCATTACTTCTGTCTTTTAGCAGACTGGAACATTCTTTTCCACGAACTGCCAAAAAGTTTATGGTTTTCTTAATATGCCCTGTAAAGCTGATTAATTACAGGAATCATAAAAGGCAAAGATAGCCAGGGGTTTGGAAGAAGCGAGAGGGCGCGATGAACGCAAGATCCGCCCTCCAGTCTTGCCCTCCCAAACACACTTCTAATTTTCTTCGCTGTTAAGTTTCACCGAAAGGATTAAGCTTTCTGGGTGGGACCCTCCCGACCCTCCCCGAAAGAGTTCCGTAGCTGTTGGCACCCACAGGCTTCCTTATCCTCGTTCCCAGCTGGAGGTCGCTTACCCTGGTCGGAGTGACCGAGCGCCAGTCCTAGGGCCGAGACCAGGGCAATGCACAGCGCCGTCATGTCAGCTGGCTCGCCTGCGCTCAGGATGCTGCGGAGCCCCGGCCGCCCTCCGACGCGCACATTTCCTGTTTCCTGCTCCTTTGGGTCGGTGCTCACTTGAAGGAGAGGTGTTTGCCTGATTTTTAGGAAGTGATGTAACTCTGCAGGAGCCTGTCAGACTGGCAAGGGTTGCAACAGACGAGCTGCTCGCCCAGCACTGATTCAGTTAGCACCTCCCTAGCCTTCGGGAGTCTGGGCCTCCACCTTTCTGCCCCTGAGAACCGAGTCCGTTGCTCAGGTGTCATTCAGCATCGGGAGGGAGCCTCGACCACAAAGGCATTCTTACTTGGCAAGTTTGCGTATCTTTCTGGCGGATCTCTGGAACTGTCCAGAGCCTTGGATAGCGCTGACCTGAACTCAGTGCTGATGGCGTTGTCTGAAGTCAGCGCTGTCTGGTAATAGCCATCAGCCACATCGTGTACTATGCACTGGACTGAGCCTCGTGCGAAGTGAACTTTTACATGAAGTAAACTTAATTTTCCATTTAAACAACTTCACACACTTAGTTGCTGTTGGGATGGACAGCACGGGCTGTCCAGACAGCAGAAAACAGCCAGTCCGTTGCTCTGCAGCAAGCCAGGCTCATACCTCTGCCCCGACCCTTCAATGCCTGCTTCCCACACCGGTCCCATTTGGACCTACGGACAATACTGCGCCTGCTTCCCTGGGAGAAATATCTTTGCAAGGAAGACTCTGCACATGCTGTCCAGGGCCTGACCTTTCTTTAACATGACAATGCATTTTTCTTCGGGGCTGTTAACCAGCAAAACAGGATTGGATAGGATTAGGATAAAACTAGAAACCCTACCCAATGGAAACAGTGTAGAAGGAGGGAGGGTCTTTTGCATACTGGGGCGGCTTGGAGGCTTTGGAGCCCTTCCCTCCGGTGGATTAGCACCTACGCACACCACTGATTATGGCATTTGTTGTGATGCCTAGAGAAAGGGAAGCCAAGAGGTAAGCGTCAGATTCCTCTAAGGCCCAGTGTCATCCTCCTTCCCATCCTGTCCCAGGGGAGCTGCAGGGCAATTGGGGCTGGTGTTCCTCAGTCACTGACACAGCCCTGAACTTGCTCTTTGGCCCACAGTTTTCTGTGTCTACCTCAGTTCTCATTCACACGACAACCAATGTGTTCATGGACTTACAGCATGCATTTTGATGCCTTAAAGTGATGATTAAAGCCCCTCTTGACATACCACACTTTTGCACTTCGGAAACAACGCAAAGGAAAATAGATGTGTTCGAGATGAACCGGGTGAGCGGTTTGACAGCAGCAGAGAAGGAACCACTCATTGCAGCCTCACTGAGAGTCAGTAGGGCCCTGGCTCCAGACAGCGCGGTGTAGGGTTTGGGTGGCAATTATTCCAGTGGAGTGAGCTTTTCTTCAGCTGTGACACACGCCTGCAAAAGAGAAGACCCGGAACTGGGTGTTCCGCGCTGTATTTCGCCGCTGCCGTCCTCTCAAACACAGCTTTGGCTCTTGCGCTGACGCACACATTGGACAAGGGCAAGGCTGCCTGTCCGATTCCTTCCAGCCTGGGGTGGACACACAGCTTAGCTCCCACGCACAGACTAGGCGTCATTTCTGGGTAGCGTGAGAGTTACTCTGTTAGAATGACGGGCCACCTGAAGCCAGACTGCAGAGAAACCCTCCACAGCATGTCGTTTTCAGCTTCTGACCTCTGTGCTCTCCAAGACCCTCAGTCTGAGGCAGTGGATCTCAAGGGGGAGAAATACCATCATTGATCGGAAAGTGGGAACACCCCCGAGATCCACCCACTGCAGCTAAAATCGCCAGGGACTGTGTGGCAGGAAGGGGCTATTTGCCTCTATTGGTTCTCATTTCACCAACCATTAATTTTGGAAAGCGACTGCCACGGTCTCAGATTAACTTCTGGTACACACTCAGCAGGAAGCCAGGGCCTCAGTCTTCACCCCAGGTGCTGATCTTTGTGACTGGCAGGTCCGCGGGTGCCTGAAGACGGCTGTGGAAGAGCAAGAAGCCAAGGGTCATGGTGTCTAGGAGATTCCCGAGGCCTCACCAGGCTCAGGGGGTCCCAGAGGTGAGCCAGCTTCTAGCTTTTGTTCTAAGGTTGCTGACTCCCTTCCCCAGAGAGTGACTTTTCCTGCCATCTGTTCAATCTACAGAAGAGAGTCCTTGCCCCTGCCGTTGCTTTCTGTGTGTGTCCATGGACCACAAAGAATGAGGGAGCCCAAGGACTCTGTTGAGAAGCATAAAGCTATCGCTGTGAATGCCAGCCAGCTTTCTGTCCACAGTCCCCTTCTGCCCAAATTGTGTTCTTGCCAACATACCCAGGTATGTGCACACACACAAACACACACACACACACACACACACACATGCCATGTAGTGTTACACATACGCAACGCCACCTCACACACTCATGTGCAAACACAGTGGTACACACACCACACACAGGTGTACACATGCTTGTGCACACCCCCCCCATGTCCTCATAAATGCACTCAAAGCTCCCCCTCCCCACACATTCCTACACACCATGGAATGGAGCAAACAAGAACAAACAGTAGCCAATTAATTCCAAGCTCGTTCTAGCATGGGAGCTGGCTACTATCTTTGGTAGAAACTTTTAGACAGGCCAGGGCTGGGAAAACTTCCCAGCATATCAAATAGAAGGCAGCATGCAGGCAGACTCTGTGGAAGGTTGTTGGCCAGAGAAACTACACCAAGTTCAGGCTGTTGTCTTCAGCAACTGGTGAACAGTCTGCCCTTGGCTTCTTCAGGATCAGACTGCGGGATAAAACTCAAGGTCTCTGTCAGATGGTGACCTTCCTGCAACTTTGCTTTGTAGCAGGCGGCCTTCTGATTTGACTGCTGGAGACAGGAGGGAGGTTTCCCGGGATGTCGCAAGTCCAGAGTCTGAGTGCTTTTGCTTATGATCTGGTATTGCCATCTGCATGTTCGGCCTTCTATGATCACTCCGTGTCTACACTCACATACGTCTACAGTGTTCTCATGCTCCCAAACACCCACACCCACACCCACACAGGTGTACACATGCTTTGCTTTCCGGACCATTTTTCTGTCTCCAGAAAAGGGGCAGGCAGCTCCTTGGTACTTACTAATCAGGAGCAGGCCCTCAGACAAGGTTACTGATGGCAGCAGAGGCTGTAAATCCTCTCAAAGGCAGCTTGAAAGGAGAGGGGGAAACCAAGGAAGGCCCCAGAACCAAAGGCATGCCAGAGAGAGCAGGTGGGAGTAAAGACTGAAGCAAGAAGAGAAGAATAAACCCCAGCGTGTGCAGAAAGCTTCAGTGTGTGGTGAGGGGAGTAGCAGGTAGGAAATGAGACTGACTTGCTCCCTGCCTTTGGAGGGGCAGCACCTGACCCTGCATGGCCAGCTTCCTCCTGTCAAGTCTAGCTGCACTATGGAGTCTCTGTCTACTGCCAGCCCTTGTCCTGTGCTCTTTGCTGGTCATTTAGGGAGCTGATTCCTTGTGAGACAGATGTGGGGGACTAACCTCTCCCTGGGCTCTGGGCATGTGTTAGGTATTATTGATTTTAACAACCGTTCAAACTCCTGTTTCTTGCTGCCAACAAACACTGCTTCCAACGCTCATTTTCTATAAGGAAGCAAAGATGCAACGGGACAATTTGATACTCTAATTAGCAAGTACCGAACCCTTTCTTGCTGGCTAAGCCGCCCTGAGCGAAAAGACTATAGCTTTTATAGCCCGCTGGGCCATCCTTATGCTAGCACCAGTGATCTGAACATTTCACAGAGGACTAAGCCTCCTGGATCATTTCCACCTTGACCAGAGGGGGATCTCTTCCCCTGGTAGAGGGACTATTATGATTTGGAGGTGGGGGGGACAAGACCGTGTCCTATCCAAAACACAAGCCCCCGCAACTGTGATTGGTTCTAAGCCAACATCTGTGACTGGCTGAACAAATGGGTGTGATGAGTGTGAATACTCCCTCTCCCTCTCATCGTCTGTGACCACAACAGCAGGCTGCTTAGGCTCAGTCGGGGAGTCTGCAGCCAAGGCTTTCCTAGGCTGCCCCCCAGCACTGCAACATTGGGGTCTGGAGGGATCTTGCCGTCCCTGCTTTCCATGGTGTTAGAGAAGACAGGCAATGCAGCTTTACAGCTAAACAAGCATCCACCAAAGATGCAGTGATTCTGGCTTGGTTCTGTAGGCACGATGGACCCTTTGTGTGTGCATGTGCACAGCTTGTTCCCATTGGACAGCTAAAGATCTTGAAGACACCACACGGGAATCCAGCACACTGTGCTGCGTGGTGCGTGACTGTTCTCACACGGCTAGAAGTAGAGAGCTGACAGGAGAGAGAAGACCGCTTATAAAAGGATAAGGGGCTGTCAGGGGCCAGAGAAGAGAATGCACAGGCCCTGGTCTCCGAGACGATTCCAGGGAGATAGATGTCATATCTTCAGAATCGGAAGGATCTCAGGCCCAGGACTAAGAGTGGTAACTCTGCTGTCACCAAGGGCCAAGGGTTCCAATACCCAAGACCACAAAGGAACAAGGGAGGGCGCCACTCAATGTTGCTCCCACCTGCTTGCTGCTGCTGCTCATGGCTGCTCAACACTGAGAAGAAAGGAAGTTTGTGATAGTATTTCTTAACAGTGGGCTTTTCTAGAATGGACACCTACATTAGAGCTATTTTGAGTAACTTAGCAGGGTTCAGCCCTGGGCTACACCCTAGAAGTACCGAGTGACAGTCTCCGCGGCGGCAGTCCAGAACTCGGCATGTGCAATGATGTTGAGGGGGTTTTTAGACAGTAAAAATAAAGCTGAGAAACCTGCTCTAGAGTTTCATTTTTAGTTCCTGGGGACAAAAAATAATGTGTTCCTTTTCTCAACAAGCAGGGACTAAACAGCACCGTTCTTTCCTTCTTTGCCTCCGCTGAAGGGGGCTTGGAACTAAAAGCAAAGCTTCCTTCGGGTGCCCGGGTTTCTTTACTGGATAAGCTTTCAAGACTTTCAGATAAGTGCTTCCCCAGCTCCTCTCCCCAATCTCTCCCCCAGCTCCCCTCCAGAAACCCCTCCACAACTCCCCTCCCCAATCCCCCAATTCTCCTTCCACAACCCCCTCCCCAACTCCCTTCTACAACCCCTCCCCAACTCCTCTTCCAACCCCCAAGCTGGCCCCCAAGACATCCCCCCATGAGACCCATCAGAATACAGCAAGAAGCTCTATCTGATTGTACCTCTAACACCACCCCCAACAGTCTTAGTCATCCGTGACCTCCCACGCCTCTCAGAGGGAATTAAGCCTCCCTTCCACTTCAGTTTCCCTTTTGATTGCATCTTCCTGTCTTCCCCCCAACTCCCATGTCTTAAAACGTTCTTGCAAGTGAGGCATACCTAGTATTGATGCAGAGGTCTATTCTAGACCATGCATGCTGATCTAAGATCTCAGTGTCGTCGTCTTCTCTTTTCAGTGCTAGTTTTGTGTGTAGTAGGAGGGATGGACCCCAGCGCCGTGTGCACACTTGGTAAGAGTTCCCCCCAGTTCCTGTTTTCTGTTTCATTGCGCCGTCCACCTTTCAAATAGCACATGGTACCCCAGCCAACTAAATCCTCAACACCAACAAAACCCAAAAATATAAACACACCAAGGTTTGGGGATACAGCAATGGTCAAAGAATGGAAGAAGCTGTTACAAGGAACAACTCAAATACCAGAGCACTTGTGTGGGCAGTGCCTCCAATAAACCACACTTCAGAGGATGTTGTACCCACAGAGAGAGGAGTGGAAAGCAATGAATGGGTAATGTTTCTTTTACCGAAATATTCCAGGGAGTGCGGCACAGCGGCAGAACATTCGCTTAGCATGCAAAAGGTTCCATCTCCAGCACTGCAGAAGAAATGAAAGAATCTCTTTCTCCCTTAAAGAAATACAAGATGTATCTGCAACAAAATGATAAGAATGCATACATTCCAAGTTAAACTCACTCTTTGTTAACTCTTTGTGTCTGGGCTGGAGAGATGGCTCAGAGGTTAAGAGCACTGATTACTCTTCCAGAGGTCCTGAGTTCAATTCGCAGCAATCACATGGTGGTGGCTCACAACCATCTGTAATGAGGTCTAATGCCCTCTTCTGGCCTGCAGGCAGGCAGACAGGTCACTGTATACATAATAAATAACTCTCTCTCTCTCTCTCTCTCTCTCTCTCTCTCTCTCTCTGTGTGTGTGTGTGTGTGTGTGTGTGTGTCTGTGTGTGCGTCTGTGTGAATGTGTGTGTGTCTGTGTGTTGTCTGTGTATCTGTCTGTGGGGGGAGAGTACACACTATAGCCCACCCATACAGGAGTTCAGAGGACACCTTGGAGTCAGTTTTCTCTTCTACCATACAGGTCTCAGGACCATAGGGGTCTCAGGGATCTGATTCACACCGGCAGGCCTTGCAGCAAGCCCCTTCACAAGCTCAGCCATCTTAACGGCCCCAGCCAGGTTCTTGAGCCTGCCCAGCATCACCAAGATCTATAGATAAAAGGAACACAGTGCCCCCCACACCGAAGTGAAAGAGCGAGAAAGGAGGAAGCAAAGCAGCCTTAGACGGTAAACATGGTGGGTCAGAGACTCTCACAGTTGTGAAACTGAGGGAAGAGGAAGGAACCGAGAGCAGAAGGGGCCGTGAGGTGAGTCCTTTCCGGTCTGCCGAACAACAGGTGCAGAGCTTATCTGAAACTAAGAACAGTAGTTTTCAGCTTGGGCAGTGCGATCGTTTCCATTAATAGCCACACAGAATGTCCAGCTCTGGTGGCAATCGTGAGCTTCAGCACCCAAAGGTCAACAGCAACTCTCCCGAGTGGCAAGGAGGCATGGGCTTATATATCTCATGATATGTACTCTCTCTGTAAAAACTGGTGCCCCTTTCAGAGTACGAATTGGTGCTCCCTTTTCAAATGACCACTGTCCGTGCATACCCTCGTGGGGCCTTAACTCTTCCAGGCCCCGGCTTCTTCAGGTTGGGCCAGGCTGCTGAAGGCTTGCTCTCCTCACCGAACTGTGAGTGGAAGAGACAGTATGGCAGGTGTGGACAAAAGTCCGTGAGAATCCTCCCAACTGTGTACCCGTGACCTTGTACTTCCGGGAACTGCCAACTCGAGCCCCAGAATGTGATACTGACTCCAACGAGACCAGAAATCTGGAATCCAACTTGGGGCAGCCTGGCTCAGCTGACCGTGAGCCTGAAGATAGCTGCTGTTGATGAGGAACTACGAAGGCCTTTAGCTTATATTTTGTACGGACTTAGAGCAGCCACAGCCCTGGGAAAGAAGGTTGTTCAGCTCAACAATGTCACCTCCATCCCTCCTCCTTTGGGGGCCCCTCCTTAACTCAGAGCCAGCTGCTTCAAACCATGGACAGTTGCAGGAGACCCACGTTCCCAGAGGCAATGACTGGAGACGACGTTTGCACTGAGCTGGTGACCTTGGTCTCATACTCTGGTTGTGTAACCTAGACAACCTCCGCACCCACGGCCCACGTGCTTCAGGAAGTGGGACCTTGTCTGGATTAACTGGATCACTTCCTTCTCCTCAAGGCCCACAGCAGGGCCTGCAGTTAACCAGGACACACAGAAAGAGCGAGACGGGAGGGGCTGGGTGCAGATCTGGGTTAGAGGTCTTGCCTAGCATGAACCGGGGTCTGGGTTTAGGCCCTCAGTGCCTCAACAAGAAATAATAAAGAAAAATTAAAGATTCTAAAACTGGCTTTTATTCACATGCCTCTCTCTCTCTCTTTCGTATGTGTGTGTGTGCGCGTACACTTGTGTGTGTGATCCTTTCTTTGTGTTTGCACACCTGAATTTATAAATGCACTGAAACCAAAGCTTCTCGCCATCCTCCTCCTGCCGGGAGTTTAATTCCTGAGCCCTTGTACGGGAGGCATTCAGCAGAATGAGCTCTACTGCACAGCCAGCCTATGTCTTGCTTTGTTTCCCCCCTGGGAGAAGAGCTGCTTGTTTCTACTGCATAAGCCCGTTAGTCTTCTCTCCTCAGGGTCCTTGACAGAACACCTCCTTGCCTCTTGCTGAAAATAAGCTGACAAAATAGGATGGAGGCTTCACGGCTTCGGGTTTTGTCTAGGAATATACCTGGAGGAGTTCGGTCTGCAGAGAGTGGAGGTCAGGCCCAGTACTTGCAGCTGCTAGGGGGCCAGGACCTGTTTTAGATGCTCAGGGAACACTAAGTGCTCTTCTTTGACCACCTGTGGGTTTAGCGTTCTGCCTGGGGGTGGAATAGAAGGAAAGCACTGTCTCTGCCTATCAGTGTTAGCGTAAAAAAGCAATGGGAAAAAAAATGCTTGCCAAAGCAAAGAAAACTGGCAAGATAGCATCCACCAGGATAGACAGTATCTCTGTGTAGGGAAATGGAACATTGGGTGGGAGGGGCAGAAGAAGAAAGAGAAGTAGGAAACAGTGTCCTCAGAACTCTTCTGTGCTATACAAAAATATAACAACAATACCAGGTAGTGTTTGTGTAAGTGTGTGCGAGTGTGTGTGTGTGTGTGTGCTGTGTATGTGCAAGTGTGTGTGTGAATGTGTGTGTGTGTGTGGTGCTGTGTGTGCAGGTTTGTGTGTGGTCTGTGTATGTGCAGGTGTGTGTGCATGTGTGTGGTGCTGTGTGTATTTGCAAGTGTGTGAGGGGTGCTGTGTGTGTGTATGTGCAGGTGTGTGTGTGTGTGTGCTGTGTATGTGCAAGTGTGTGTGTGACTGTGTGTGTGTGTGGTGCTGTGTGTGCAGGTGTGTGTGTGGTCTGTGTATGTGCAGGTGTGTGTGCATGTGTGTGGTGCTGTGTGTATATGCAAGTGTGTGAGGGGTGCTGTGTGTGT